CAGTGAATCACACTAGGGAGGTTTAAGATGTGTTTACACCATTATTGGTAATACTAACTTTGATCTCTTAGTTAAGGGGTTCACCAGGTTCTTCACTGTGAAGCTATTTTTTAACAAGTAGGAAAATAGTTCGAGACTATATATATAAATGCCTCATTCCTTATCACATTTTCACCCTTTAGTTTTAGCATCCATTGCTAATTCTTACCTGTTTCATATATCACTATAATAGTTGTATACTTATCATTAAGGGTTATATAATGCTCAGATTGTCACAGATTTGGGCAGTGGGAGGCCTTTCAAGCAGGTCCTGTTGATTCCTGTTTCCAGTTTATATTTTTGAATGAAAATAAATGTTTATAAATTTAATCTAGTATTTAAAATCTTGTGAATCATGCACATTTTTTAAATGGTGCTAAATATTACTTTCAAGATAGTATGATGTGAATACTCAAGTATCTTTATAATCTCTGAGATGAATGTTATATTTATTTTTTCTAAATGAAGTTTATTCTTTTGTGTATACATCAAAACTGTACCGTAGTCCCTCATAGCTATGGTTTTATTTTTCCACAGTTTCCATTATCTGCAGTCAGCTACAGTCCAAAAATATTAAATGGAAAATTCCAGAAACAAAAATATATGTTTCAGATTGCATAACACTGTTCTGAGTAGTGTGATGAAATCTCATGCTGTTCCACTCTTTCCTGGAGGGCATATGAATCATCCCTTTGTTCAGGGTATCCATACTGTGTATGCTAATACCCAACACACATATTAGCCACTTAATAGCTGACTTGGTTATAAGATTGACTGTCACAGCATGGATGATCCCAGAGGTATTATGTATGCTAAGTGAAGTAAGTCAGTCAGAGAAAGACAAATACCATGTGATTTCACTTATATGTAGAATCTAAAGAACAAAATAAAAACAAAATTGAACAGACTGATGGTTGCCAGAGGGGAGAGGAGACTGGAAGACTTGGTGAAAATGCTAAAGGAATTAAGTACAGGTTGCTAGTTATGGAATAGTCACAGAGGAGGTACAGCATAGGGAATAACAGTATGGTGCCAGGTGTGTACTAGAAATAATTGGGGGGGGAGCACTTCGTCAAGTATATGATTATATTATCACTGTGTCATACACCTAAAACTAATACAAAATAATATTGAATGTTAACTGTAATAGAAAAATAAAGTTTTAAAAAAGATCAAGACAGTCGGCCGTCATGGTATCACAGTGCTTGCGTTCAAGTCACCCTTATTTTATTTAATAGTGGCTCGAAAGTGCAAGAACAGTGATGTTGGCAATTTGGGTATGTCAAAGAGAAGCCATAAAGTGCTTCCTTTGAGTGAAAAGTACCTATGTATAGAAGAGTATATAGTATACATAGGGTTTGAAGAGCAATTTAGTCAGCTTGCTGAATTGTACCAGTGTGATGTTTTCTTGGTGTTGAGCAAGAGATTAAGGTGGCTGATGCCATTTGTTTGTATGTAATTTGCATAATTTAAAATAAACCTCTGGCATACAAGTTTACATTAGGGCACAGGTTGCACCTGCCTTTATGGTATCATTGTGTAGTTAAGATTCAGAAATAGTTTTATGATTGTTATGTTTGAGGCAAAATGAATACAGGTAGTTGTAGACTTGGTAGCCCCTAAAGAGGAACAAATTTTTGTTTTAAAATGAGTCGATGCAGTATGTGTTATTACACAAGGCTCTTTCGAATTTCTTCCAGCTCTTCTCAATGGCTGTTATTAATCTTGCTGATCTTAAAATATAAGCATGTTTCTTAGGTAGGAACAGATTTGGCAGAGCCTGGGTTTTCTTTTTTTTATCTGTACAGTTTGGGGCATATATGTTTAATTGGTACCCCTGGGGTTATATTACATTAAAATAAGAGATAATAGGCAAACTATTTTTCCAGTTTTGTTGGAATGTAATTGACATATATAACATTGTATTAATTTAAGGTATACAACATAATGATTTTATATATATATTTATATATAATATATATTATATATGATATATATTATATATATAGGAACTAGAGTTTATTTAAAAGTTGATTGTAGCCTATTATTCATTGCTAATTTCATAAGTAGTTTGTGAGTGAGGTTAGTTGAAGACCTGTTCTTTGCTTTCAAGAAGCTTTTGATTGAGTTGGGACTAATTTTACATGAAACAAGACAATGCAATTTAATTTTCAATTGTGGATGCAGATTTGAAAGGACATTGAAAGCTTCAGGGGTTAAGAAGGTCTCAAAGAAGGGGAATATTTTGAACTTGACGTTGAAGGACAGAAGGCCAGACATTCTTGACTTGAAGAGTAATAAAAGCATAGAAACAAAATTTAATCAAGAAACACACCAGAATCTAGATTTCCTAAAGGCACAGGTAGATATTGATCATTAATAGAAGAGAGGTGAGAATGGTGTCCCTTGAAGTTATGAACAACAAAACCCAAGGTATATGAGTTTAAAATTTATGTGAGAAGCAAGGTGCTATTGAAAGTTTGAGTTTGGTCAACTCTAGAGATCTTTTTAAATTGTAATTTTTCTACTGTAAATAATATATTATCAAAACTTTGGGTGAACATATAGAAAGGGGGGAAAGCATCCAATACTGTAGTCCAGGAACATTAAAACTTTTGAGCCTCGGCCGGGAAGCTCAGTTAATTGGAGCGTTGTTCCCATGCAGCAGGGCTGCAGATTTGATCCCCTGTTGGGGCACATAAAGGAATCAACCAGTGCATGCATGGGATAGGTGGAGCAACAAGTCTATGTTTTTTTGTTTGTGTTTCTTTTTCTCTCTCTTTCCCTCCCCCTCCCCACTTCCCCACTTCCCCACTAAAAATCAACAAATTAAAAAAATTTGCTCTGGCTGGTGTGGCTCAGTGGATTGAGTGCCAGCCTACGAACCAAGGGGTCACTGATTTGATTCCCAGTCAGGGCACATGCCTGGGTTGCAGGCCAGGCTCCCAGTAGGGGGCACATGAGAGGCAACCACACATTGATTGCCACACATTGATCACGCCAAACACTGATGTTTCTCTCCCTGTCTTCCGCCCTTCCCCTCTCTCTAAATATAAATAAAATCTTAAATTTTTTTTTTGAAATCTCTTATGTGTGACTGAACCTTTTTTCCTTCTTATTGAATGGAGGTTGATTTCCAGAGAGACAGTGTGTGGGTGAGCTCTTAAATTTTATTGAATTTGAAGTTTCAAAATTTATTTAAAAAAACAATATTCCATATTGAGGTACGTTGGTGAGTTTATCCTTGTGAAGTGAGACATGAAAAAAGAGAACTCTTTCTGAATAATTTACTGTTGTTTTTTTTTTAAGACTTTGTTTACTTAGTTTTAGAGAAGGAAAGGGAGAAGAAGAAGGAGAGGAACATCAATGTGTGAGAGATAGATTGACTGGTTGCCTCTCACATGCTCCCAACTGGGGTGCTGGCCCGCAACCCAGGCCTGTGCCCCCTGACTGGGAATCGAACCGGCGATCTTCTGGTTTGAGTGCTGAAGCTGGTGCTCAATCCACTGAGCCACATCAGCCAGGGCTTTAGTGTTTTTTTTTATTTTGTATCCATGGAGCATTTTTGTTTTAGGGGAGTCATTTCACCACAAAGTCTCACTTAGCTTTGTTGACTATGACTTTTACAGAAATATTTGTAATAACACGGTGTATAAAAAGCCATATAGCCCTACGTTTGAATCTGAGGTCTTAGTGCGGTAATCTTGGTTAAGTGTCTTTTTGTGAGCTTTTGTTTTCTGACCTCTGAAGCAGGAATAACAATCTTTGTGGGGTGTTATGAATATCATTATTTAGTGCCTAGAACATGGAAGCCCATAAGTGCTAGTTGCTGGGCACTTTAGTAGGAATCATATTCAACTTTAGAACCATAATTAGCATAGCATAAAGGGAACCAGTAGCTCTACCCAAGTTAGATTGAGGAATCAAGTGTAAGTTCAGGCTTGTGCTCTTAACCAGTTAAGGCTTTTGCTGTTAAAAGGCATGTGGATTGAATCATAAATATTTTTTAAAAGATTTTATTTATTTATTTTTAGAGAGGGACGGGAGGGGGAGAGAGAGAGAGAGAGAGACATCATTGTGTGGTTGCTGGGGGTCATGGCCTGCAACCCAGGCATGTACCCTGACTGGGAATCAAACCTGCAACACTTTTTTTTTTTTTTTTTTTGAGTCATATTTTTAAAAATTTCAATACATGAATATGTGACATGGAAAGCAGTCTAGAATAGATTAATGAAAGGCTTATAAAGAATGATTCTTAATAAGAAATGATCATTTTTCCATGACTGGTATGGCTCAGTGGATTGAGTACTAGCCAGCAAATTGAAAAGTTGCAGATTCTGTTACCAGTCAGGACACATGCCTGAGTTGCAGGCTAGGTCCCCAGTTAGGGGCATGTGGGAGGCAGTGATTCGATGTTTCTCTCACACATTGATGTTTCTCTCCCTTTTTTCCCCTCTCTTTAAGAATAAATAAGTCTTAAAAAAAAAAAGAAATGAGCTATTTTAGGGGAAACTTCAGTACTGTAGTCAGTTTTCAAACTCCATTTCTTAATTGGATTTTAGTCACTCTAGGGGAAGAGGATAATTTTCTCGTATCTTGTGAACTAAGAGCCTTCTGTAAGTAGGTTCATTAATTCCCCCACAGCTCTGTGACAGATATATATCCTCACTGTACAAAAAAAAAAAAGGAAATTGAGGCTTATAAATACATCTAAGGCTCTGGGCCTAGAATGGGATGACTCTAGAACTGTTTGGTCTTTTTTATTATACTATACTTAGGTGTATTGTTTCTGTTACGCTCATATTTTGGGGGGAAGAAGTAAAAGTCAATTTTTATTGGTGGAGAATATTCTATCTAGCACAAGTTACTAAGTTTTTATTGAGTTATTCTGTGAAGTTTTAATTCTTAAGCATACTCAGATAAGTTTTAACTAACCATTTTGATTTATTTTTAACCTTTAGGAACGTCAAGGTCGTGGAAAATAAAAGGCAGTTCTGCACAGACCACAGCAACGGTTGCATCTGCATATCCTAAGAGGAAAAAAATGACCTTCAAGAGAATTAGGACTTTTTTCTTAATTTCATTGACTTCAGAGACGATTGCAGACTTGCAGTTTAAGTATTGGAATTTCACAAAAGACATAGGACTTAACTGGAAAATGAAAAAAAAAGAAAAAGAAAAAACTAAAAAAATCCCTCTAGGTAGTTTAGGTGAAAAATGTCCCTTTTATTTTGGCTTTGGTTGTGATTTCAGAGCATAATGCTTTGGTTTTTTTGTCTTTTTACTATGTTTTTCGGATTTTAAAGTCCGTAAGTGCATACAGTTTTCTCTAATTTTTAAACCCTTTCCTCCCCCCATTTTGACATTTGCACTTGGAGAACACCTGAGTTTCAAAGGTATGGGCCTCCAACCCAGAAAGTGGAAATTTGGTTTTTCCCTTCCGAATTGGAAGAACATTTTTATGAAGAATTTTTGCCTTGGAGAATTTAACAGTGTTATCCCAAGGTTGTGTCTTTAAGGGTGGTTCATTTTCTCTGACCCTTTGTTACTCAGAGTAAAATACTAGGAGTCCTAAGAAATGTTCTGTTATTGTACATTATAACTGATTAAGTCAGGATTAATTTCATTTCACAGCTAAGAACAGTGGTAAAAACTTGTTTACAGAAATGCATTTTGGAAGAGAAAAATATTGTAAAACGTGTAGTGAATGTTTCTTCAGTTTCTTGTTCAGCCAATGAGGAAAGGGCATTGCCTTTCTTTTTACCATTAATCACTTCTCAATAAACGTGAGATCCTGTTGAGCATCACTTTTAGTACCATTTATTAGTATTATTTGAGTCTGGTATATTTTATGAAAGATTTGGAGTGTAAGGAGTTTGAAGAAATGAAACGGCAACTATTTTAAGAAAGTCTGCTGAGATGAAATAGTTCAGGTTTGCTTTTGTGCCCAGGGCTAGATAACCATGACCTCTGCAAAGCAAGTTGGGCCAAAATTTATAATGCTTTGTTTCTGGGTAATTCCCAGAGAAGGTAGAGCCACTGCTGAGTCATTCAGTAAATATTTGATTGTAAGTGCTTGTTAGGTGCCAGTCACTGTGCTTACTCTGTAGACACCTGGCCAGATAATTGCATGAGAAATAGATTGAGTCCTGGTGTCAAGGATGTAAGTGTTTAATCTGAAATGTGGCTTGTTTAGACAGCATTCCGCATGGATGCAGGTCCAAGAATAAGAAATTTCAGTGGGTTTAGATCTTTGTGAACCATATAATCTTAATGATATTTGATTTACCCCTATACATTTTCTAAGAGTTGGGGCCTCTCTGCCTTAAAGATTTTTAGTCCTTATACTATCCCTGTGTTGGGGAGTTAAATGTGTGAAAACTTCTGTAATAAGAAAGGGTTCTGAAAATGGGTTTTAATACTGTTGGATAGTGTTTTGCCTTCAGATGATTTACTCACCCTAGTGTACACAGTCCAGGCTCCTAAATCAGGGGTGTGATAAAATTATGAACTGCAGGTTTGTAATTAGCATTACAGTTGACACACGAGGTTGAGAACTTTTCTCTGCTTATCTTAAGGCACAGTACAATATACTCACATAATCTCTTTTTCCAAGTTTTTTGAAATAGTTTCCCCGAAACTGGGGAGTCATTTGTGCTTTCATCAATTTGAAGATGCCCAGTCTCCAAATGAGAAATGTAACAGCATTATCAATTTTAGTTCTTATTTTTGTGGCTTTTAGAGGACTCCCATGGGCTTAATATTTCACCTTCAAAAAGGAAAATATCCTGAGAAAAACAAATACAAAAGCAATTTTACCTAGATTTCCCTACCTTGTATTCAAGTTGATTGCTTCCCAGTCTTTGTCTTCATGTCACATAGAACTAGTATGGCTTTGGGTGCAAACTGAAAGGAATTTGGAGCCCCTAACAAAGCTGCATACCCAGCTCTTCCTGAGCGTTTGGGTTGTGGGGGAGGGGGACAAGGGTGTGTGTCAGGATGTTGGATTGTGTATTTGAAAAAAAAAAACAAACCCAAAACCATACTGGCATTTTCTGTAGTGTAAAAAGTTAAGACTATGTTCACTCTTAAGAGTTTGGCCCAAAAATTGATTTGGTGAAGACTCCAAACACAGCTCTTATTGCTAACCACAATTTTTGCAGTGGAAATTGTTAACTTTTGACTATTTGTCCTCAGTGGTTTGTTCTGTTGTCATTTGTGAATGTAAAACTTTGAATAGCCATGCTTGTTTACTTTTCTTCGTGTAAGATGAGGGAAAATTGAATAATCTCACCGTATTTGATCTGTGTCAATTCAAAGAATTTTGACCTTTAATATAAACAAAATGTATTATACATTCACTGAATTTCATCTTAGTTACATTTGATTGGCTATCTTCCCAGCATGTTCCGTTTTTTGAAAATTTTCAAAATTAATTTTAAAAAATTACCGATTTTAGAGAGAAAGGAAGAGGGAAACATTAATTTGTTGTTTCACGAGTTATGCATTCATTGGTTGATTCTTGTATGTGCCCTGACCAGGGATTGAATCCGCAACCTTGACGTATTGGGATGACACTAACCAACTGAGCTACCTGGCCAGGGCTGTTTTGTAAAATCTTTCTTTGGAATAATTTTAGACTTTTGCAAAAAGAATATGTAAAGTTTCTCAACCCTTCACTCAGCTTCTTCCAAATGTTAATATTTTACATAGCCATAGTACAATTACAAAAAACAGTACTACTAACTAATCTATTTTATTTGGATTGTGCCAGTTGTCTAAGAAATTTTTTTTTTTTAAACTCAGCATCCAATCCAAGATCCCACATGCATTTAGTTGTTTCAGGCCTCTGGCCTGTGAGTTCTTTAATGGTCCCCTTTTGTGATTTTGACAGTTTTAGCAAGTACTGGCCAGTTTTTTGTTTTTTTTTTATGGAATGCTCCTTGGATTTGTCTGATATTTTTTCATTATTAGATTGAGGTTATTTTGGGGGAAGACTGCACAAAAGTCACGTGCTTTTCTCAATGCATTATATGAGGATACGTGATGTCTATGTCTCATTACTGGTGATGTTAACTTTGGTCACTTGGTTAAGGTAGTGACTGCTGGGTCTCTCCATTGTAAAGTTACTGGTTTTCCCTTTGTAAATAATGAGTAACTCATGGAGGATATACTTTAAAACTATCAATCGTTGGTCCACTATTTTGACATCTTTGGATGGTTATTACTTGGAGCAAGTGGCATTTGCCAAATGTTAGTTCACTGTCTATTATTCCTTCCATATTCATATAATTAGAATTTTGTAAGGAGAAGCTGTCCTCTCTTCCCATTTTATTCAGTTGTTGTATCAGTATGGACTCAGGGATATTTTTACTCCATGGGTCAGTGCTGTCATTTATTTTGTTGCTCAAATTGTTCAGCTTTGGCCATTGGGAGCTCCTTCAAGTTGACTCTCTTTGACTGCTCCAACATTTTTTGGAGCCCTTTTCTGGTACTACAAGATGTTCTTGGATAGTTCTGTATTTTCCCTGCTCCAGCTTCACTTCTCCAAGGAACAAAGGTTCCTTTTATTGGAAAATATTTAGGCACCATTCCTTGATTTTTCTTTAAAAGCAATTCTGTAAATTGCAAGATTACTAAAGTAGAGTTTCATTACTAATAGATGTAGGGTTATTTAGCTTAATCCAAACACCTAACTGCTTTCTTTCTTTTACAGCATTATTATATATGAATCTTCTGGAGTTATGGAGAGAGCTTTAACTTAGCATAATACTTCACCGAGAGTGAGGCCCACTGAGTGTGCTTTGGCTTGTACCATTTCATAATTCCTAGCTGTAGCCTGGTAGATAGAAACTCAAAATGTTGAAAGCCCTGGTTCCTACCCCATCAAAACTATTTTAAGGGTTCGGAGCTTTTTCTACCTGTGAGAAGGTAAATGGTCATTATGGAAGAACTATATAGCACTAGAATAGTGCCACTTATTTTGACCTTTGTTTGAAAAATGATTTATGTGAAATATGGTCTCATGAACGTAGGACCTTTCTTTCTGAAAATGAGTTAAAGTGTCCCTAGGATTCAGATTTGATAAGGTCATTTTATAGTCCTTATTCTTAGCTTTAGGAAGTACCCAATTTCTTATAAATATAACTCATTGCTAGTGATGTTTGGGCAGCTGGTGAAACTCCTTACCCCTGAGAAGCCTTTTTTTGGAACTGTAATACTTACTACAGCTGCTGGTTCTGCACATCAGAAGCTTTATAGCTTCAACTCTCCTAGGCAGATAAGCCACCTACAGCCAGATTAAGTGCACTGGAGGTCCCACAAGCCTGCAGGCCTCTGCTTCCAGATTTCCAGCACTGGTTCTGTAGCCCCCGCCTGTGGGTTGGGGATGGGATATATGGAGCATAGGGTTGCCCTTTCACTTTCCAGCACCAACTGGACAGCTGCACATGCTACCACAGCTTCAGGCTGCACCTTCGAGCTTGCTGGAGGTCAGAACTCTCCTGCTAACCTGATTCTCTCCATACCTCTGCAGCCCTGCCAGCTCTAGCTGTTGGCAGCCTGCAGGCCTGCTCTGCTTATCATCTCATTTTAGTATGCTTCTTTCCTGTCCCAATCGGACAGATAATTTCACTGAGAGAAACAGTGGGTTCAAGATGGTGTCTACCATTGCTTTTCCACCTGTACAAAAAACCTCCCTTGGGCCAAACCCCTTACCTTCACAGGTGAGCTAGGTAGGAAATGGGATTTTGCACTAATCTAGGGGGGCAAAAGTGTCATTTGTGCCATGTATGGCTTACTGGTTTCAGTCTACTTTTTGATGCTCACGTGTGTCTTGCTGAAGTTTGGAAAGCGATTACCCTGGCGCCATCTGCTGGCCATAGGCGCTGCTCGTGTGCCAAGAAAAAGTTAAGAATTGTCCTAAAAAAAAAAAAAATTACCCTTTTGGGGGAAATTGCCTGAAACTCCCAATTTTGCTGCTTTGTTCAATTTTGCATGAGAGTGTACTTATCTGTCTAGTCATTTAGCCTGCATTTTGTGAGTCCCTGTTGGTGCTGTTGGGCACTCGAAGAAAAGGAAATAAGATGCTTGTGCTTTCAGAATTCAGTTTAAGGATTACACTGTCAACCAGTTTGGAGTTGTCAGAGATACACACAAGGTGCTTATAAGAAGAGAAGAGGGGCATCTACTCAGAAGATTGCCCTCTTGATACTGGATTTTTCTCCTGGCATTTCCTTATCTTGATGGAAACCACGTGAGCCCCTAACCTTTTCCTCTCTCTTACAGCTTCGGCTCTCCTAGGCAGTTCTGCTCCATCATTAATGAGTTGTGTAATGTTGGGCAAGTCTGAGGATTGCTCTGTAACACATCTGCTTATTGGAAAGTGAAAATAAGCCCTGAAGCCACTTGTGTGACTTTTACAGGGATTTAAATTTCATTTTAACCTAGTAGTGCTTTTCTAATGAAAAGCGAAACAGTGACATAGAATATAAAATGTCTCCACTTTGGTAAAAGTTTACTATCCTTTTAAACATTTTTTAAAGACTTGCTTTATGTTATATATGTAAAATCAGTGTATATAGCATATGTATATTCCTAAATACACATTCACGTAATTTAAAACTATTTTTAAAAAATGGAATAATACCAAATCATCTGCGAAGTATTTGTTCCCTGCCCCCTTCTTGCAATTCTATGAATTTTAGTTTGCAGGCTGACACTCAGCCCACTGAGTCACACCAGCCAGGGCTGATTCCATGAATTTTAAATTTTGGTTTGCCAAAGAAGGGCCCGGGTCTTCTGTGACAGTCTTACATGGGTGGCTTTTTAGGATTTTGGTGTGAGGAATGAGAGCCCCAAGGGCCTGGGTCTTTGTCATCAAAAGTAGTTTGGCAGAAGCCTGTCCTGATCTTGTCCTCTTAAGCATGGAAACATAAACTTATCCAGATTTCTGCTTCCCCAAAGCCTCTCCGCTTGAAGAGTTTGGCACTCAGTTTTTAGATGCATGCCATTCCAAGTCAAGGCATTTTGTTGCAGAAGTATAGGCCATGTCCTGGGCCTGTGGTTGCAAAGTAAACTGGCAAGGAGTGGATAGGGTGGATAGTGTGGGGGAGGGCTGCTACAAGCCAGACGAGAGTTCTGGGCACACAGCAGCAGAAAACTAAAAGCCCTTGCCTTCAAGGGGACTAATACTCGTGGGGAGAGAAGTAAGTTTGTTGGGTACTAATGAATGTGATAGAGAAAAGTAACAAGGGTTTGAGACTGGAAGGGAGTCGTGCTGCCAGGTCCAGAGAGGTGAGAGATGAAGACAAAGTTGGGTAAGGCTTTGAGAAGAGCACCCACTTTTGAGAGAAGTGTGTCACCTTTTCATTTTATTTCACCATCCCTCATATCTCCTTTTCTAGCTTAAATTTTGTGATGTACCATAATCCTCCCCACCTGGTGTTCCTCCTCATCTTCCTTTCCCCCTTCTCTTACTTCACTTAGTGTAATTGACAAAACACAATCCTGGTTACATACAAATCAGCTACCTGCATCTGGGCTCTTGGAGAAAACATTCAGCCAGTGTCTCATTTTAAATTAATGGTCATTAGCTTCAGGAGGGAAATCATGAACATTTCCTTCATCTATTCCCTCTCCTGCTCTCGAGACAAGTATTTCTTCCCTGTTCCTTTTCCCCAAAACTCCAACATCTCGTATTCCATCTTTACTTTCAGGTAATGACTTGATTTCCTACTTGACTGAGAAAATTGAAGCAATTAGAAAGAAACATCACGGACACCCTCCACTACATCTGCTCACTTCACATAATTGTAGATCAGTGTTTTTTGAAGCTTCTGGCCAGTGGCATCAGCACCACTAAGGAGCTTGTCAGAAATGCAAATGATTAGGACCCACTTCAGACTTAGTGAAGGACATGGGTCCAGGGGTGGGCAGCAGTCTGCTTTAATAAGTGTTTCATGTGATTCTGTGAACCCTAGAGCTTGAAAAACCGTGTCTGTAGACTGCATGATTCCGTCTAGAAGGAATCCCTCCACTTGTGCTGCAGATCTCAGTCTCTCACCAACTCAAGAACGTGACCCCATCCCTGTCTTCCACACCCCAGTTTTACTGCTATTGGGTCATTTCTGTCAACATCTGAACATGCATGCAACTCCAATGAAGGAAGAAGCTGTTATTTACTGGTCCCACTTCTTCCATTCTCTCCAACCCGCTCCAATCAAGCTTTCATCCTCTCAGTTCCAGTGGAACTGGTCTGGTCAAGGTCTACTGATACACATTTTTAATTCTCAGTTTTAACTCAACTTATTTGACCTATAAACAGTATGTGGCATTGTTGCTGTTTCCTCCTTGATACAATTTTTTTTTCCACTTGGATTCTAGCATAGCACACCTCTTGATTTTTCCCTTATTTCACTGGTTGTTTCTACTTAGTCCTCTTGATGCCCAAAGTGAGCCAGGGCACAGTCTTGACCCTCTACATGCTAGATTTCATCTTGCCCTGTGGCTTTAATCACTGTCCATGTGCCAGTGGTTTCCAAATGTAGAACCAGTCCAGATCTGTCTCTTGACCTCTGGTAGACTCAACAGCCTGCTGAGCCTCTCCACTGGATGTCTCACCAACATCTCAAATCCAGTACTTTCCATCCCAGACCCCTTCCTTCCTCATCTGCCCCATCTTAACAAATTCATCTCCCCCATTTCTCAGGCCCAATCCTGGGAGTAATGCTTGACTTTCATATCTT